TTAACTCCTGGGTGCAAGCAATCCTTCCACCTTAGTATCCTGAGTGCTGGGACTACACATGTGGGCCACCAAGCCTGGCTAATTTTTAATTTAATTTAATTTTTTTGTAGAGACAGCATCTCACTATGTTGTCTAGGCCAATCTCTAATACTGGGGCTCAAGCAGTCCTCCTGCCTTGGCCTCCCAAAGTGCTGGGATTACAGGTGTGAGCCCCTGTGCCTTTCCTTAGTCTTAAATCTTAAAGCTCAAAAACCAATGAGACTTGTGAAGGCAATTTTTATCCAGTCAGCTTTTCTCTAGTTTACCTGTATTGATTGAAACTGATAAGATGGTTAAAGAGAACTCTTCTTCAATGACCTCCATTTGGGGAATTCCTGTTTTCTAGCAAAGCTGTCCATCAAGCAAATTTCTGTTACGCGAACCTTTTATGTTTTCTTTCCTTTATAAAACTGGAGACCTATGTACTTAGGAGGAAAATAATTGTAAACTATTTTACTGTAAATGTTTAGCAGTTAAACATTTTTGTGAAGGAATTAAGAAAGTAGAATTCTGAACATTTTTGTACGTTGGAACATTTTGCCTTTAAATAGTTACAATACCAGCAGACTGTTGACTTTTTTCTTTTTTGGTAGCAGTTCATTTTAGGAACTCTGGGGCCTTCACTCCATGACATGCCATCACGCATAGTGGTACAATTCCAAACTTTCTTCCATGACTGGTTTGGTCTGCATGTTTATAATGCTTAATATAATTGACCTAAAACCTCTGCTGAAACTTTAAATTATTATTCTTAACACATTTAAAAATAGAAATCTGTAGAATAGAATATTTTCCGTGCACATGGCTCTTGAGAGACTTTAAGACAGTGCAGCTCTAGATCACACACACTGGGGTGTGGTCCAGAGACCAGAGCTCTAACTCTAAGGTATATGGAAGAATGCTTGGCTGCTGTAGGAGAATGTAGGTGGAAAGCAAGGGATCAGTTCCTGATAATAAAGAAGTGTGACAATTGAACAATATTTGCCAAACAAAGAATTTGGTCTACAATGTATGTAGATAACGTTAGTGGTAGGTACAGCAATAGAAATTAGTTTACTTGGTTAGATTTGAGCTTTGCAGATTTCTTCGAGCTAAGGTTATTTCCCTTTCTCCATTGTATAATTGTGCACCTATATATTTGTGCAAATGTATATACACACACATTCATAGTCCTCTCACAAATTTGTATAGCTGTGGGACAAATCAGCTTCTACTGGAGGATCAGCCTTAACTATAGGAGCACCAGAAAGCCACTCCTCTCCTATTCCACGGTGTCCAGAAACTTTAGGCTACTTTATGCTTCTCTGCCTGGTTGGTTTATTTCCATATAACATTTGGTGGATTAATTGCAGTATTTTAAGTTGGATGATGAACACTAGCATGGTATAACATGTAAAGTAGTATCTAAAGTTTTGAAAGGTGCCTATTGTATTTCAGGGTCTTTGCTTAGGTTTGGAGGTAGATGGTCATTAATCAAGGCAGGGAACTAGGAGATAGTTGGTCATGGCTCTGCAGCTGCTCAGTTACTTTGGTCTATAGTTTCTTCATCCATAAGTAGAAGGAAATCAGTTATAGTTTTTAAGATCTTGGCCACCTCAGCTCTTCCAAGAGAATAAATGCAGCAAGAACAAAATAAAGCCAAAAAACAAATGAAAATTACTACTTATCTTAAATGTATCCAGTGTCGGATCTCAGAAAATGGTATCCCCAAATGAAGGGCTCAGAAGCAGAGTCAGGATCACATTTTCCTTTTATCTTTTCTTGCTTTCCTGTCACTGGCCCTTCATTTTCCCCTGAGGTTAGCCACAGAAACTAGAATTTTAGTCCAGGCGTGGTGGCTCATGCCTGTAATCCCAGAACTTTGGGAGGCCAAGGCTGGCAGATCACAAGGTTAAGAGATCGAGACCATCCTGGCCAACATGGTGAAATCTTGTCTCTACTAAAATACACAAATTAGCTGGGTGTGGTGGTGTGTGCCTGTAGTCGCAGCTACTTGGGAGGCAGAGGCAGGAGAATTGCTTGAACCTGGGAGGCGGAGGTTGCAGTGAGCTGAGATCACGCCACTGCACTCTAGCCTGGTGCCTGGCAACAGAGTGAGACTCTGTCTCAAAAAAAAAAAAAAAAGAAAGAAACTAGAGTTCTTCTTTTCCAAGGTGGGCCATAGACACGAGAATCCCTTGTTTCTACAATTAGCCATAAAGCCTAAAAATGTTACTCAACTCCCCTCATTCCCCAGCTTTCTGTGTAAGGACTGGCCTTAAAAAATTATCTTACCTACCTTGTTTGATTACAGTTCATAAAACCCCCCCTTCCAGACAGGGTTCTTCTCCATACCCAGAAAGCAGCAAAACAAAACTCAAAGAGGCCAAGAAAAATCTAAATGATAAGGTTTACTGCTTTTCCCCACTCAGTCTATTAAGATTAGATCCTACCCATTTTGTCCAGTCATATTTCTACATGGCTGTCCATACTTCATTAAACCTAAACATAAAAATGGGCAATATCCCCAGTAGCTTTGGGTCTTCATTCTAAAGGCTCCCATGTCACGTAAAATTATGATCAAATCAATTTATATGCCTTTTATCCTAATAATATGCCTCTTGCCCGTGAACCTTCAGAGGGCAAAGACAAAGTTCTCTTGGCTCCTAGAATAGAATGAATCATGTGGTCAAACTTTTACTCTTTTAGAGCATATTTTAATGGTGTTTTTAAAAAACTTGTTTCAAATAGTTATTAGAAGATTTGAGAACTTTAAAGAATTAATAAATAATTATTTGGAGTTCTAGGTGGATGGTTTCTTCAGAACAGACACTTTTATGGCCCTTAGGAAAGGATAAACCAAGTAGGGGGCACTATTAGGAAGGTATGTGTTAGAGGTGGCTGAGCCTGGAATCTAACAGAGAATTCATTAGTCATTGACATTGCAAATATTTGTATTCATTTGTTAAAGGAAAATTGGATGAGCACTGCACATTTCTTGCCATATAGCAGATACTGCTGAATGAATCCAGGCTTTCACCGTGTGCTTGGAGCGTTAGAGAAAATGATGGTGCAGCTGATAGTTGACCTGGAAACTATTTCCAGCTCTATCATTGCCATTATATTGTTATGATCATAATTATACTTTACTCAGGATTTTCTCCTTCTCACCTCTAAGTGCCTCAATCATTTAGATTCTATGTGTGCATCATTTCTTGATAGCTTTTTGATTTAGGTGCTATTTTAAATCTTATGATCACTTAATGTGCCTAAGTACAAATTTCCTTTGTTTTCATTACTAGAACTTTCTTCCAGTCCTTTTGACATGAGTAACTCGGTAATTAAGGGGGGAGTTAGTAAAGAGATAATAGATTAAATATCAATTCAAATAAAGTTTGCTTAAGGTCAACAAATGAATTCTTTGATTAAAATAAACTTCTGGTTATTTGTGATGTGCATATTATTACGTGGATCTCTGTAGAAGAAGCTTTGTGATACAAAAAAATTCATTAAAGATCAATTGAACTCTTCAGAAATACTTCCTTAAAAATATTCTGTAGTTCACACTTCACCAGGCTAGGCAGGACTTCTCTTGCTTAGTGTGAATTAAGGAGGTTTAGAGTATATGAATGAGTTTTAGATGATTTGTCATATGAATGACCCATGACCTGTTCTTTCCTGAGTAGTCAGGATTTGGCAGTGCTGTACAATGTTTACCTCCATTTATTATTGCCTTTTGTTTGAATTAAATGAGACTATATATATATGAGAGAAATATAATATATTTTTCTCAAATGTTTACATTTTAAAAGGATAATGATGATGTGGAAAATAATGGTGCATGACTAAGGCTGCACAAATGAAATGAATGGATAATTTGTGAATCTAATATTTTTGGAAGTTATTATGATGCCGTATATAAAAGCCTTGAAATATGCACATTATGCTAGATCTTTTTGGGTAGGATTAATTTTTTAAATTAATTTATTTTCTTACCTATTAAATAAAGGTAATTGTAGGTGATTTTAAAATAATTTTATGCCATTCTTAAGTCATCTGAGGTTAATTCTGTCTCTGCTCAGTTGTTCCACTTGCTGCCTCCCAGTGCCTGCTCCGGAACTAGTCCAGTGAGGAATGTAGGGTCTTGATCTACACTTAAGGGATAAGACCAAAATGTTGTCTTTCCCAAGGGTGCTTGAATTTAAATTTTGGCTCTTTTAAAGACTGAAAGGAATGACTTAAATTGTGGACTTTGGGACAGCTCTTTAGATATGGTATATTAGAGGAGGTGAGTTTGCAAGGGCATTCAATTATACATACTACCTAGTGGCTATTTTTCCAGGACTAGCATTAGGCAATATTTTCAAAATGAATAACTTCTTGAAATTATGGACATCATCTTCAAAATTTTAATGACCACAGCTGAAATTTAAAAAGGGAAAACACATTTTATTTTTCTATAGTGGATGAACAAATCAAATAGAAGGAAGATGTAGCGCAGCTAATTACAGCTAATTCATATTCAAAACCCTTAATTTTGTTTCTGTGTTTCTTACTGATGACCTCATGAGAAGAGGAGGGTAGTAAATGATAAGAACTTCATGTGTGATATAATCTAGTATTTGGGATACAAGATCTAATGTTAATCATACGCTTCCACTTTTTCCCCTTTGAAAATTACAGTGGTTGCTTCTTATTGAAGAGATAATGGAATAAAAAAAATATAATAGGACTGTCTGTTTGCCTAGATAAAAAAGAAAATATAATCAGCATTGATACCAGGATGTTAATTAGAAAAAAGGAAGGAGCTTGCTAAATCCTCTCTTAAAGGAAGAAACACATGCCACACACAGCGGAGGCTAAATCATTCTGTCTAGATCCCTTACTACTTAAGTTTAAAAATCATGTTGACCCAGGACTGGCTCAATATGTTCAAATGATTATTTACTATTAAAGGATTTTGGGATTCTTTTCCGCTTTAGGATCAGTACGACTTCGTGGAGGCAAAAATGAGTTTGAAGGCACAGTGGAAGTGTATGCAAATGGAGTTTGGGGCACTGTCTGTAGCAGCCACTGGGATGATTCTGATGCATCAGTCATTTGTCACCAGCTGCAGCTGGGGTGAGTGCGCCCATCCCTAACCAGATCAGTCTGCTAGAATCTGAGAATAATGCTGGGTGCCTGTTATTGCTTTGTAAAGCTTCTATCTTCCTTTCTTACTGTCACTTTCCTCATTCTCACATTTCACAAAAGAGTTATAAAGAAAGGGCCCTAAATGGAAGAAATGAATTCTCTCACATGCAAATGTACTTAACATACAATTACCTGGGCTGAACTAGGAAATGGGCAAATACTAAGTGGGCAAATTTAAAGGCATCTTTTGGTCTTTGTCTTTATCAAAATATAGACGCCTTTGCGGCAAGTTTTGCCTTTTCAAATTACTAGAATTTGATTCTAAGAATTATAGTTTCTTAGAATTATAATCAATTAATTAAATTATTCTATTATAATTACTAATTATAATTAATGAGCACAGTCTTAGGTGGTTACTGTCATTTGATTTTACCTTTCTACTTTTATCTACCCACAGATTCCATTTGTGTGGAATCTGTGGCAACGTTTACCTGTGCCCTTGTCCTTGATGGGGAAGTGGTGATGTCCCAGGCCTTAGATTTTGGTGCTGAGGTCCTGTGGAAGATGGCAGCTTCTGTCAGCTCTGGCAGTGTCCTGCCATGCTAAGGAGCTGCCAGCCTGGGAACTGGCTCCACTGTAACCCTAGGCACCATCTTTAAAACAAGTCAGTATATACTGAATTCATCAGTCCCAGCATCTTTATTCCTTGTGTCATAGAGTTTCACCAGGAGTAGAAGCCTTCTTTCTGGGACAACAGGTTTTATTTTTGTTTTTATTTTTATTTTTTGTTTTTGCGTCTCCTTTATATTTTTTAAGTGCACTTAACATATATTTTTCTTGGCCTGTATCACCAGAGATCTTTAGAAAGCATGGAAAATATTTTGTCATAAAAATTGCAGTCCAGAGGACTGGAAAAAAATGTTTGCAGTTTACAAGTATTTTGCGTTAATAATCAGAGTGGTAATAGCTAATATGATGGCACAAAATGAAGAAGTAGAACTTCAATTTACCAGATTTCTTTTGTCTTCCCACTGGGAAGGTGGGAATGAGTATTGAGTAGAGGCAAAGCTTGAAGGCCTAAATTTTGCTCAGACTTTTGATGCTGTTAGAGCAGTAAATAGGGTTATTATAGTAAATTAAAGTCAATGAATTATTTTAATAAGTTGATATAAATCAGAATGAAAGAAGGAGTAAGACCAGAGCTTATGAAGTGTTATGGTGCTGGGAAATGTTAGTTACTGATTTTATCATGAATACTTTGTCTGGCAAACAGACATTGGCAGGTGGGCAGGTCACAAAGAATGTTGATTTCATGCTTTTTCCTTTGAGGGACAAGAGATGTGATAAATTTGTAGGCTGATGTCAGTGTTTTCCTTTATGTACATACCTATATGTGCTTTTATTACCCCTGAAAATCAGAAAGGAGTAAAATTTTCTATGAGATACAAAGAAACAAGAACACTATAGTGTAGGTGTGAGCTACTGTGTGGTTTATTCGTCTTTTGATTGACGAAAGTATGTAAACTACTACTCTGCAAACAAACTTCAGATAAGCTGATCTAACTGCTTATATATTATTATTTCTCAGTAGTCCATTAAAAAAAAAAAAGGAATTGCACAATAAAACCAGGGAGACTCAGCTTCATTGCTGTGAAGACACATTTATATTTTAGATATACCCCAGATGTTTACAGTTTGGTTGATGGAATGCTGCAGCATGGAGACAATTGGAGAGATTACCATGTAAATCAGATAAGCATTTCATCATTTTAAAATTTAATACCCGTTTGTACACAGCAGAAGTTACTTACAAAAATGTGTGCATGAGCTAAAAGCAGAGCCCATCTGTATGCTATTATTTTCATTTTTTCTTTTTTAAAATACTCTCCTGGTATTAGCAAAGAGATGCATGTTGCTATTTCATTAATTGGTTTCAAAGTCTTGCTAGCAAATACTATATACAGTGTAAGGTTTTAAAAATTATAAATGGATTGCCTTCCTTGATACTATTGTGCTTAGATGTACTAATAATAATTTTGAAAATGTTAGCCTAGAATGTTAGAATCAGAAAGAATCTTCAAGCATCCAGATTTTTCTTTTGACACATTAGAAGTTAAAGCCTTTGAGTCACTTGCAGCTTGGTGTGACTTTTAGCTGAGTCCAGACTGGAGTCCAAGCCTCAGTGAAACTCATGACACACTTCTTGCACAAAGCCTTACTTTTTGTATCTACAGTACTTGGTTGTCTTCTTGAAAATCAGTCATTGATGATAAAGGCACATAAAGTAGTTATTCAAGATTGATGAAGAGAATTCCATAGGTAAAATCAACCCACGTTGTGATCTGATGTTTTAATTTCTTTGAAATTAATGTAATCTATTGTGTTTTTCTTTTTTTCTTCTTTTCTTCCACATTCATCTTTGTTGATTTCTTCCATTGTTTTCAAATGCTTTGATAAGAAGTTTTGCCTACATTTGATAAACCTAATATCAATCATTGTACTTCCAGAGGAAAAGGAATAGCTAAACAAACCCCGTTTTCTGGACTGGGCCTTATTCCCATTTACTGGAGCAATGTCCGTTGCCGAGGAGATGAAGAAAATATACTGCTTTGTGAAAAAGACATCTGGCAGGGTGGGGTGTGTCCTCAGAAGATGGCAGCTGCTGTCATGTGTAGCTTTTCCCATGGTAAAAAAAAAAAAAAAGTTCTGTCGTTTTACTTTCATTATGTTGTTATGTTTTAAACATGATTCCAGATGATAAAAGTGCCTTAGTTAAATCATTTCCTTAAAGAGTTTAATTACAGAAATAAGTCTGAATCAAAATATTTTACCATCTAATTAGCCTTCAATATAAGAATAGTTAACAATTTGAATTCCATTTGATTTTCCAATGATATCTCATTTTTTAACATATTTTCTATTTTATATAATTTGCTTAAAGAAATATATATGTTGTATGCAATATGATATATACTGTATAATACATTGTATATGAAATATATATTTTAATAGTGGAAAATTATGATGGAATCAAGATGGAAAATAATCATGAAAGTCAAATATAGAATACAGCAAATACAACAAAATATTTTAATGGTGTAAATATTTTGTGTAATGCAGTATAATTATGGCATCAGTGTTCTTGGGGCTGTAGAGAGCACCTTCCTTAAAAATGGATTGTTGACTTGAATGTGGGCTTCTTCCAAGCTCCATAGAGTAGGTATGTGATAATTATCATTATTGGTAGAGTATACAGATATGTTTATGTTCATGGAAGTAGAGGAAGGAACAACTGCTTTTAAGATTGTGAAAGAGTTTTCTGGGTACCGTGGTATATTTTAATGATTGATCACAGCCTGAAGCTACCATACTCTTACAGTATACCTTTTTGCATTTTCCTTGGAGATACCAGCATGACCAGATATCCCAGAACTTAGAATGGTAGCAGTGAGTCCAGGGCAGTAGTTTTTGTTTGAGTACAGGGGAGGAATAAGGAAGCTCCTACCACAAAACAGAGAGAGACCCAGTCTGGAGTTTCCTTCGGATTAGCTGGAAGAGCCAATGGAAGGATATAGTCCAGATGTATGCTCCAGATTATAGCTCTGAGAGTTGTAATCCCTTTTTGGTTGGGAGAGGCATGTGTTAAACCTTGATGTCTCGTAAGTTTTCTCTTTTCTTCTTTTGATTCTCTGCCTTTGGGTAATGCTACTTTTGCTAAATCCAATGCTGCTCCAAGGATGATGTGACTTGGACCCAGTAATTTATTGCTTTTTGTAGATTATTGGTTTTACTCTATGCTCAACCTGATTGATAAAATGTTTTTCAAGTAGTAAGGTAAAAATTTTAAAAACAACAAGTGTTTTTTTCAGGATATCTATCTACATTTTTTTACTCCTTCCACCTTCTATAATCTATTCATCTGTTTATATTCTGGTTGTAAAGATAATTTTATGGTCATCTGTAAACATATATAAAATATAGAAAGTTGTGATAAATTAGAGGTGAGAACTTAAAAAGATTCTCTCATGGTAGATTAAATGAGAATGTGGAGTTGTACAGCTGAAGTCAGCAAACATTGAGTTCACCTTAAGGGGTAGTTGTGGATTTTTAGTATACATCCCTTAAGTTTGGGAACTATATTTAGTGTCTTGTCATTCTGTACTTGTAGCTTTTCCAACATTTACAAAGTAGAAGATTGCATACAAGTTGGATACAGAAAATAGCAGCAATCTAAATGAAAACATGTGGGGAGTTTAATTATCTATAAGCTAAATATGAGTCAATTGCTTTACTAAATTTTCTTTCAGATGATTTTTGCTTTTGTTGGAAGGATGGGGCTGGTAACTAAATCTTGTCCTTGTGCTTTTCAGTATTTTTTATATTTTAACAATTAGCCAAAAAGAAAAAGAAACCACATTTTAAAATAAAACACAACATAGAAGAGTGAAAGGTGGTATGCCATAAGCAGTCTAGGTTCTAGATGGTTTTAAATTTTCTCTTAAAATTTTTTTTCTGTTTTCTCCAAGCTTACCAGGTGAGGAAAAGTATATTAAGAGTGTATACATGTTTTTCTATATTTTTTTCACATTTTGCAAGTTTTTTAAGGGAAAAATAAACATTATAATTTCTGAGAATTATATTACCATCATTCAGCCATATGTATTAAACCTATCTTTATCCATTAACAAATTGTAAGTGATAGTTAACTTATACAAGTAAACAGTATATGCAGATATTCACTAATCTAAATCTCTGTTATAAAACTGGAATATGAGTGCTTGCTTTGACAGCACATGTACAAAACTCAAATATGATATTTGAATTTAAGTGTGCATATCCAAATGCCATTTACTGCTTGTTACACTGTGGAAAATTAAGAAGCATATTTCATACAGATAAATGATTAGTATTTGGCAAAAAGTACAACTAGGGACCCAGTCTGTTAATTTTTACCATATTACATCCTTTATTTTAGTAAAATTAGACTGCCTTACTCTTTACCAGACACATTCAGCTTTGTGCTTCTTTCTTTTCACAGTGTTCAAGTGGCCTGAATACACTTCCCTTATCTCTGACTTCCAAATCCCAGCTATCTTGGCCTTCTTAAAAAAATAGCTTTTTCACAAGCAATTCCCTAACTATGTCCCGCCATGAGTAAGATCCTTTGCTTCTGAACCACTGTAGGGTTTCTTGTCTGTACTTGTTGTTATCTATGCCTTTAGGCAGTAAACTTCTTGAGGGCAGGGTCTGTCTAGTGTCAGTTTCCCTTCGAAAGTCCTGCCACACTGATCATAACACCTTGTACAAGGCATATGTCTGATATCTGTTTGTTAATCAGAAATTAATGAATGGATGTTGCAATTATTTTTTCTTGTTTGGGCTATCTTTTCTAGGTTTTCAGCATTGCTTGTCAGTTGAGGCAGTCAATAAGTAGTGATTATATGCTTTTGTATACTAGGTACCTGAAATAAACAGGTGAAAAGGAATATGGTGTCTCTGTCCTCATTCTAGCCAAGAGGAGAGAGACAATTGCCATGTAAACAGTAAATCAGTGACAATTTTAGATTTAAGTAAATACTCTCAGGAAGACAGAATTAGGCAGTGTAATAGGAAGTCCCTTAGTGTGCTGTCTTAGCCAAGGCAGAGAAGAGACAGAAAATTTCATAGTCTGACAAGGGCTAGATCAGGGCATTGCAGGTTATAAGAATATAATCACAGTTGATGGTCCTTATCAGAGAAAATGGATATGAACTCATTCATGCCCAAATAGTTTCAATGTTGTTCTGTTGAGGTACTGGCCATGATGTCCAGCAACTTGTTATAACGAGTTAGATATTAACTTTGTGTTGATTTCTACAAATACATAAATAATTGTATACTGAAAACAAGTATGTTATAAACATGTGTCATTTTTAATGACATATTGGTAATGCTCAAGTTACTGTAAATAAAAAAATCAATGCCACCACTATAATGCCATAAAAATCAAACATGTTTCCAGTAATCTGCAGATTTTGAGTGTGCATTTTCTGGTTTCTGTGGTTATTGGGTAAAAGTGAATTCAAACCATTTCCTCCTGAGTTACTTGTATTCATGTAATTCAATTTGGTACATTTTAATTGGCCAAGATTACCGTAATATATTAGATATACATATGTATGTCCATATCACTGGTGTGGTATAATAAATATTTAATTATTGAGAATGGCAAAAGATATAGATTATACCTAATCTTATCAATCGGTGTAAATGCATAGATTTTGCTTGTTTTTAATTTCACATTGCACAGGCCCAGCATTCCCCATCATTCGCCTTGCTGGGGGCAGCAGTGTGCATGAAGGCCGGGTGGAGCTCTACCATGCTGGCCAGTGGGGAACCGTCTGTGATGACCAATGGGATGATGCCGATGCAGAAGTGATCTGCAGGCAGCTGGGCCTCAGGTTTGTTTTTACTGCTCTTGTTTTGGTTAAACTTTTGACTATATTATTTCCATACCCAAAAGCAGGTGCTGTTTGTTTAAATTGCACATTTCCTTCAACAAATAGAAAAAGCTACCTTTTGATCTTTGTAGTAGGGCTATAGGCTTCCTTAAGAGTAGCTACATGTACTCTGTAGGTTTAACCTGCTTGTATCTGAATGAGGCTGATTTTATGTCACAAAGAATCTAAGCTTTTTCTGCTTCTCATTAGTAGTCTATGTTACTCTTATGTAGTAACCAGCACTGTCAACTATAGTGACTTAATCAAATTCCATATGATGAAACACTAGTAACTCAGTTTAACTTGTAGTCCTGAAATATTATCTAAACTTTTGAACTTCACTTCCTTGTTAGGTATGTGCGTAGAACAAAGGATGTTTATTGATGTACAAAGGAAATATTTTCCCTGTAGGGTTGGAAAGGAAGCCTATGTCATGAAACAGCAGTCTGAAAATCGACATTCCAGGTTGCCTCAGTTGGGATTATTCTGGAATATTATAATATTAGACCTCCTAATCCCTCTCTTTAGTGATTCTGAACATTGGTATATAACAAAGCTAAAAGTTTCTCTAAAATTATATTGGGGGATCTTTTAAAAGTTAATAATTTTCTTCAGATTTTAAAAATATTTCATTTAGCACTGAGGGGCCAGTGATGGGGAGGCCTGTTCTTCCCTGTCCATGTGTCCAGTTAACTGTAATCCTTGACTGGAGCATGAGTATTGAACCTTGAACCATTTTTATGATTCAATTTTTTTTGTATTTTTAAATAATTGGCTCTTTTTTCCAAAACTCTATGTTATATTGAAGTATTTTAAAGTAAAATATAGACATTTTAACACTTTGTCTGTGAACACTTCAGCATGCACCTCTTGCAAATGAGAACATTGTTCTATGTAGTCAAATTATCATTATCACAACTAATCATTGGTAGTCATTCTTAATATTGTCTAATACTTCATCTTATTCAAATTTTCAGAGTTACCCCTACAGTGTCCTTCTGAAGCAGAATTTAGTCCAGGAGCAATCTGGATGTTATGTTCTTAAGTCTCTTTTACTTTAGAAAGGCCTGGATTTTTTTTAATGTTTTTTGTTTGTTTGTTTTATTTTGCTTTGTTTTGTTTTTCCCTAACACTGTCTTGTTGAAGACACTAGGCCAGTTGTTTTGGAAAATGTCCCGTCTTCTGAATTTGTCTCATTTTTTCTTCCTGGTGTCATTTAGTTTACTACTCTGGTTCTTGTAATTCATAAAATTAGAGTTTTGGTTTAAAGGCATGATTAGAACGAAGCAAACATTTTGTCTGGAAATCATCACAGGTGATATGTTCTCATCTTGCATCTCACCAGGAGTCACGAAAAACTCTGGTTTTCCCCACAGATGAGGCTGACATTGAGCACTGGCTTAAGTGATATCAGCCTGATCTTTCACTGTAAAGTTACATTTCCATCTGTAACTGACTATGGGACCTAAATGCTAATTTATAGTTCATATGTGGGACAGGAACAAACACAGCAAATCCTGTGTTAACAGGTTTTGTTAGGATTACCGGCATTGTTTACTATGATATGAACATTTTATTTGGGTTAGTCAGGAATGGGGCTTCTTGGTTTTTTTGAAAACCTAACAAGAACATTTTTGAGACAATTTTTTTTTTTTTTTAAGACAGAGTCTCACTTTGTTGCCAGACTGGAGTGCAGTGGCATGATCTTGGCTCACTGCAATCTCTGCCTCCCAGATTCAAGTGATTCCCCCGCCTCAGCCTCCTGAATAGTGGGACTACAGGCACACCCCACCACACCTGGCTAATTTTTTGTGTTGTGGTAGAGATGGGGTTTCACCATGTTGGGCCAGGATGATCTCGATCTCCTGACCTTGTGATCTGCCCACCTCGGCCTCCCAAAGTGCTGGGATTACAGGCATGAGCCACTGCGCCTGGCCAAAACAAGATTTTTTAAAAAGTGTTTTGACTGGGTATCAATTTCAAGACCAATTTTCTCAAAGTTTCCAGGTGCTGCTGTTGGAGTCAGCGTAGCATATGATTATGGGCATATATTCTGGACTCTGAAAATCCTGCATTGAAATCACACTTTTGGAGTTGAGAAAAGCTACAGAATATCTCTTAGTTGCAGTTCTCATCTATAACGTATTTCTTAATTTATAGGGTTTTGTATCTACAAGCAGTTAGCACACATAGTAAGTACTATATACATTGGCTATCAACATCACTCTAATTAGGTACTTTTATATTTCAAAGATATTGCTAAACATTCAAAGTAAACAACATTTGGTAGTGACAGAACATCAAGCACTATTCTCCTATCTGGAATTTCTATTTAGTTAGCTGTATCTATGAACTTCTATATTTTTAAAACACTGTGATGTGTATATATGTGTATTCGCTGGGTTATCAGTTATGTGTTCAGTGATGTGCTAATTGATTTTCATGTGAGTTACTAAGAAACCTATTTCTCTGCCAAAAATATTAAGAACTTTAAGGGTATAGTAATGGCATTTTTAATATTATCAGTTATAATATGGATTATTCTAAGTTTAAACTATAAGGCATTTTTGATTATTAATATATTTCTGTGGGAAAAGGCAAGCTTTTGTTGCTTAGAAAAATGCACAGAACATTTAAGTGACACACTGAATATTAGTTACGTTACCAGTTATTGAAGTGATTCCAAAAATTCGTGTTGTGGCCAGGTGCAGTGGTTTATGCTTTGGGACGCCAAGGTGGGAGGACAGCATGAGGGCTAGACTGGGCAATATAGCCAGATCCCACGTCTACAAAAAAAAATTTTTTTTTAATTAGTCAGGTGTGGTGGAGCACAGCTATAGTCCCAACCACTAGGAAGGCTGAGGTGGGAGGATTACTTGAGCTCAGGAGGTTGAGGCTGCTGTGAGCCATCATCACATCACTGTATTCCAGCCTGGACAGAGACAGCAAGACTCTATCTCTAAAAAATAAAAATAGAAATTCATGTTGTAATACAGAGTTCTTTATTGAGAGACAAATATTTTTTTTTTCATGTAAATAGAAACAGTTCTTAAACAAAGGCCATATTGATGATGACAGTCAGTTACATAGAAAGAAAATACAGATAGAATCACAAGGAAGGGTATGTTAATGTTGAACACACTCATGGGTGAAGTAAACTCTTGGAACCTTTCTGAAAGATTAGCTCGTTGCTGTTTTTCGTATGAGGGGATTCTTTGGAAAAGTGATTAAAATATACAAGCAAAAATCCTCTGCAAGTACTTGTAACAAACAACAATCCAGCTTTGTAGAGATTTGTTTTTATTATAAGTACTCTGATGCTCTGTGCTGACATTCTTCCTTTACCTTTCCTGCACTTGATTTTACAGTTCTCTCATAAGTTTGCATTAAAACTCTAAAACTCTTCTTTCTCTATAATTTGTTTTTCTCATTTAAAGGCTAAGTACTTTCAGATGAGATCGTTTTTAATGGCACATGGTTGATAGCAGATGCATTATTGTTGCTTGTCTCAATTTAAGATTCGTTCTTAAGCAAATTTCATCTCAGTCTTACTTGCTTTGTTGAATTCCCACAGGAAAACTACATCATGCTTTTCTGGAGTAGTGGTTACAGTTTCTTTATGAGATGCTGTCACTGTTGACCTTCATCTTTTAATGGTGTCTGTATATTTTGGTAGCTGGCAAGCTTCCTAAATGCAAAAGGAATTATTATACTTAAGATACTTAAATTTGATTAATCCAGAACTTGGAGAAAGATGAGCAGCGGGAAAGGAGGCAGCCAGATGTTAGAAAATTAGATAACTTGCGAATGCATATGGACCCAGTGAAGTTTAGGTGGAGACATTTTAATTAAAGTTCCTTTTTATGTGCTTAACATTAAAAGCATTTTCCATGTCTTTCAAAACTCTTAAAAGAGTTTTGTACTGTGACATCATATTTTATTTTGTGGATGTGCCGTAACTTACATGGGAATTTAAAATTTGTGGACACGTTCTTTCCTCTTAGGGCATTTTCATTTTTACTTTTTTGTTGTAAAATTATATAGAACCAAATTATTGAGTAGTTAGAATACAAATTCTTCTGATATAAACTGTTCTTTAAAAATTGTTTTTTGCCAGGCATGGACATTGACGCCTATAATCCCAACACTTTGTGGGGTTGAAGTGGGAGGACTGCTTGAACCCAATAGTTCCAGACCAGCCTTGGTAACATAGTGAGACCCCCATCTCTACAGGAAAAAAAATTAGCCAGTTGTGGTGGCACATACTGGTGGTCCCAGCTACTCGGGAGGCTGAGGTGGGAGGATCATGAATCCAGGAGGTTGAAGCTACAATGAGTTGTAATTGTACCACTGCACTCTAGCATGGGTGACAGATACTACACTTGATCTTAGCCAAAAGGCCAAGAAGCGATTAGCATGGGTGACAGAGTGAGACCCTGTTTAAAAACATTTTTTTCTTTGCTCTTTTATTTTACTGTTCATTAAATTTTAAAAAATATTGTATAAACCAAGCTTGTCCAACCCATCGCCTACAGGCCACATGCAGCCTAGGACAGCTATAAATGTGGCCCAACATAAATTCGTAAACTTTCTTAAAACATTACGAGTTTTTTTTTTTTTTCTTATCAACTATTTTTAGTGTAAGTGTATTTGATGTGTGTCCCAAGATAAGCCTTCTAATGTGGCCCAGGGAAGCCAAAAGATTGGACACCCCTGCTATAAACTTTACAACAAAGATAGCCTGGTATAAGAATTAATGAGCAGGAAAGAGGACTTGTTTAACAGTTGAGGAAGTTAGGCCCACTGAGATTACATAGTATTCCTGAAGTCACACTGTTAGTGGCAGGCAGAGTCTTGAGGTTTATGGCTCCCAATTTAGGATTTTTTTCTTTTATGTTACATTATTTGTAAAATGGCCAGGTGTTAATAATAATAAATACAAATATAGGGCTGAAAGAAAT